CTCTCTCTCTCATCCCTCTCTCTCTCATCCCTCTCTCTCTCATCCCTCTCTCTCTCATCCCTCTCTCTCTCTCTCTCTTGCTCTGTCTCTCTGGCTTGCCCCCCATTGCACCCTTACTGTCCATGGATTTCTATATTCATTTATTTAATATATCTTTTGCCTTTTCACCTTAATACCACCCTCTCCATCTCCCTGTCTCTTGCAATCCATCCATCTCTCTGTCTCCATCTCTCTCTCCCCTGCAGTGAACCCTCCTCTCCCAATGTGATTAGATCCTTTACCTCCTCCCGGTGTCTCTTCTCCGGGAGACTTTCCATGCTCAGATTTCCGTCCTAGCCGTGGAACGATGTTCTATGCTCCCTTCAGAGGTAAATCTGCCCCCCCCCCATCCTGCTGTCTTTGTTTTTACCTTTACCTCCTCCCGGTGTCTCTTCTCCGGGAGACTTTCCATGCTCAGATTTCCGTCCTAGCCGTGGAACGATGTTCTATGCTCCCTTCAGAGGTAAATCTGCCCCCCCCCTTTCCTGCTGTCTATGTTCCTCCTCCATCCAAGCCTTCCCAACCCTTCAACCCGTCCTTGGAAAACTCCGCTGCGGCTCCAGAGTTGGTGTCTGTCCCATTTTGTGATCTTTCCTCAATCTCTGTTACTCTAATTTGTGTGTGTGTCTCTCTCTCTCTCTCTCTCTCTCTCTCTCTCTCTCTCTGTGAAACTTTGTGTGTCTCACTCGCTCGGTGCCTCGTAGACGGTTGTTGTCCCTGTGTTTTGTGGCCGGCCATGCAGCCCGTGTCTAACTTTGTGCTTTTGTTGTGTGTTACTTTGTGCCTTTGCCATTCTGTGATCTTGAAGTATTAACGATGCCGGCTCGTTACATGTTTTTGTAGATGATGAATACATTTTATAAAATGACTGCAGCGCCCGGCATGCCCTGCTGGTGGGGATTTTCTGAGATTTGTGGTTCTTCAGCTATTGTAGGTTGTGCCATGTGTAGCATTAAAAATCAGCCTTTCTCAGCCAGGGTGCCATGGGTCCCTAGGGTCCTTTCTGAGTTTGCTTTGGGGGTTCTAGAACAATCAGACATTTCTGACTCTCAGATGTGTGACCACTGACAACAATGATCTATTTAGGTATTTGTAAGGGGATCATTCTTCCCACTGACCACAGATGTAAGGGGCATTCTTCCCACTGACCACCAATGTAAGGGACATTCTTCATACTGACCACCAATGTAGGGAGCATTGTTCCCACTGACCATCAATGTAAGGGGGCATTCTTCATACTGACCACCAATGTAAGGGGCATTCTCCTCACTGACCCCCAATGTAAGGAGCATTCTTCTCACTGACCACCAATGTAAGGGACATTCTTCTCACTGACCGCCAATTTAAGGAGCATTCTTCTCACTGACCGCCAATGTAAGGAGCGTTCTTCTCATTGACCATCAATGTAAGGGGACATTCTTCTCACTGACCACCAATGTTAGGGACATTCTTCTCACTGACCACCAATGTAAGGAGCATTCTTCTCACTGACCACCAATGTAAGGGACATTCTTCTCACTGACCACCAATGTAAGGAGCATTCTTCTCACTGACCGCCAATGTAAGGAGCATTCTTCTCACTGACCACCAATGTAAGGGACATTCTTCCCACTGACCATCAATGTAAGGGAGCATTCTTCCCAATGACCATCAATGTAAGGGGGCATTCTTCTCACTGATCACCAATGTAAGGAGCATTCTTCTCACTGACCACCAATGTAAGGGGGCATTCTTCTCACTGACCACCAATGTAAGGAGCATTCTTCTCACTGACCACCAATGTAAGGAGCATTCTTCCCACTGACCACCAATGTAATGGGAATTTATCCCACTGACCATGAATGTAAGGGACATTCTTCTCACTGACCATCAATGTAAGGGGCATTCTGACCACTGATGTAAGGGACAGTCTTCTTACTGACCATCAATGCAAGAGGAGCATACAGTTCCACACAAATGTACCATGAGCTGTAGATATAGTAATTCCTGGCATAGGTTCCCTTAGACTAAAAGGTTATTTCAAGGGTTCCTCCATGTTAAGGTTGAGAAAGGCTAATCTGAAATGTCACTGAAGAAAGTCTTCTACAGCTGGACAGGTACCCAGGAGCCGTGTACTAGAAATGGTGGCCTAAATGTTTTGAACCTTTGATATCATTGTTGATGAAATTCACATTTGCCCAGGTTCTCATAGAGGTCTGGCTACTGAAACTGGTTGTCCATACCTGTCTAAATTATTATTCATTGTTCCTGAGTCTCTGCACATTCAAAGTCAACCAGCAATGAATGCATTGTAAATCTTTCCTCAGCTGCATGTGGTGTGCTTTTGCCAAATGTTTTGGGTTGTTTTTCCAAGCTGATGCAAGCCTACTGTGGAATGGGTTGGTCTTGGCACCATGAATGTTTGGTTATGCTTAGAAATAAGGATAGGTTTGCGTGATGGGTTGAGGGTAACTGTTTAGCTTAAGGCAGGGCTGGACAAATCCCAGGAGCCAGATATTCAATGCGCCTTAAAAGTTACAGCGGGTGCCTAACTGTTGAGGTCAATGGAGCTGGTTTCTGGATTGGAAAGATTGGCTTCTCAGTTCCATATTCATATGTCCACCCCTGACTTACTGAGAAGACCGAGAGCTCTAATGCAACTGCTGTTATTGAAAAATGGCTATTTGATGCTATTGTTAAAGAGGCCCCTTCAACTTTGTTTGCTGTTGAACAGGCTCGCCGGGTCCATGCTTGCCCTCTGCTTCCTGAAAGCCCCTCTCACCCAATCCTGGTACGTCTCGAGATATGATTTAGTTTAAAGGTGTAAACTTCTAAATATTCTTATCAGATGATGTTAATGTGTTAAAAGCCTTGTTTCTGTGTAGCTTGTAAGTATATATGGATGTGAGGGCAGCCATTTTTGCTCATTACATAGTCAGGCTCTTCTTCGTAGTGCTGCACAGTGTTATCTTGATGCATGGCTACTATGTAGGTCTGTCTGATTGAAAATGATAGACTCTCTGCAGTCTCTATTAAAGCGGAACTTTACCCCCTTTGACTAATATTCACATCAGCATACAGCTCTACATGCGGATATAAAATCATCTGACATTCATTGGCTAAATAAACATATTTTTATTTTACTTAAAATTATTGTTTTTCTACTTCCTGGTCCTCTTGGGCATGAGTGATGTAGTCATCCCCAAGCGTTGCATACTGGGAAGGTTACATCAGCAGAACGTTGCTGGGAAATCTCATCTGTAATGAGATCTCAGGGAAAGGCATTTTCCTCCCCCGATATGATGTGCGTGGTCACATGTCCCAGTCACATGTGCCAGAGTTCCAGGAAGTGAAGGGAAATATATTAATTTGCCCTTAGTTAAAATGGCCGCTGTGAGACGAGTGGGTAGGAAAAGAGAAGCAAAGAATACAAAGCCGGTAATTATCTAGAAGTATGTGTGTGTAGATTGTCATCACTAAACATTTCTAAAGGTGTCTTTGTTGCTATTTTGAAGATATGGGTAAAGTTCTGCTTTAATGTGAAGCACCCACAATGCACCAGGTCGAGTGTAATGTAGACTGCCTAGGGTTTAGTTCACATTAGGCCATTTTCGCAGCAATGGGTTTTCGTTCATGGCAAGCAAATGCTACTTTTAGTCCAAATATTACTGTGATTTGGTAACGGGCTCATGGGCCCTCCTAATTCATGGGAAGTGTGAATGTCAAAATGTTGGGCCCACTTTTAAGCTTACCGCCATTTTATTTATTCACCACTTTAAGTGAATGTTTGTGTTTAACTCTGAGCCAAGGGCGATGTGTTGAGATTTGTGGAAGGTTGGTTCGGTTAACATAGGCAACGATGTTTTGTTGCAGAGGCAACAAAATATTTTAGAGCCTTTATTAAAATGAGTCTCTGTCCAAAACATTTTGTACATAATGTGTCGCCCCTCCCGCTGCAAAAGCTTACTTACCTTTTTGCTGGAGGGGGGATGAAGTCCTCTTCTTTGCCTCTGTGACATCATCACAGGGGCCGCTGATGTCGTCGGGCCACCAGGAGGCAGGTTACAAGAGGACGCCCTGCATGGCTTCCTCCACATGCAGTGATGCAGGACACTCTTTTGGCCTGCACGGCCAGTGCTAATTGGCAGTAGGAAGGAGGGTTTTATGGCAATGCATTTCTGCATGGGCCTAAAGGTGGCAACGCTGCAGTGAATTCATTGCAGGCCCTGCAGTGTTGCCACCCTCCTGGAGGAAGACCCGACGAATACCAGGATCACCAGATATTTTGTTTTAAAAAAAAGTAAAGAGAGTTTATTAAAGTGTTTTTTTATTTTAATTATTTATTAATTTCCAAGGAACACATGGGATTTTTTTTTAAATTTGGGTATGATTTTAGTTTAAAATGACCCTGTTGAGTTTGATAAAGATCCTGCTGTAAATTCGCTGCAGATGAAAATGTCTTGCAATCCAATCACACCGACAAAATGCGGTAATGCGGGTCACATGCATTGGTGCGCTGGAGTGCTATTTATTGTGTGTTGCAATGCACCACAATGTGTCGTAAGGCACTACAGTGAATTGCGGTGTGCTGCGCTGGCGTAAAATGCAGAAGCAATTAGAGCTGCAGCTAACGATTATTTTCAAAATCGATTATTAAGTTCGATTAATCGGTTAATCGGATAAAAAAAATAAAATACATTTTAAAAAATGGCTCCAGTGATGGGACTACTAGTTTGTATTGAGGTTGTAGTCCATCACAGGAGCAAGGTTGGAGCGTTGGAAGTTAAAAAGAAAAAAAAAGTGTGGTGTGCAATATAGTGAAATGAAGTGTAAAATTATACAGCAATCAATGCAGAATGGCATCGGCTATAGAGAACTACAAAACCCAGCAATAGTACATTATACAGCGCAATGCAGAATACCACCAGCTATAGAGGAATACAAATCGCGTAGCGTGTGGAGCCGTGAACAGGGCAAACCAATCGGAAGCCGATTAATCGATGATTGAAAAAGTTGACAACTTTTTCAATAATCGATTATAATCGATTATGTCGATTAGTTGTTGCAGCCCTAGAAGCAATGTTCGGTCTGTGGTGGTGTTTTAGTTTGAAGTCAATGGGCTGCCTTAACGCCATGCACACAAATGAGTGACGTAAAACGCATAAACCTGCATGCATTAAATACACTGCCCTGTTGTGAATGGGCCCTAATACTCACCTCTTTTGGGACCCATGTCTCCTACGTCCCCTGTATCCAGCGCTGCAGCCTCCATAAGGCTCTTCAGCATTTGAAATGCAATAGTCTTATTCTGTTGGGGTACAGAGGTAAGGCATAGCACCACACCCCTGAAATACTACAG